AAGGGAGACAAACTGGACTCTGCAGAATCTGCTGAGGAATAGAATAGAATAGAATAGAATAGAATAGAATAGAATAGAATAGAATAGTACTATCGCCACTTTTAATGAAGGGATGGGACCACAGTCAGTTAAAATTGATTTATTGCTCCTCAGATAAACATTGGTCTCAGGGGCTGTGGGGTTTGAGAGAGCAAGCAGTTGGCCATAGCTCAAAATGGTCACAAGTTCTTAATTACAAGACAATATATAACTTTCTAATCAAATGGACAGTTACCACAAAGTTTATTTTGCTGTTCTAACCTATCACCTTTACTTACTTCTACTGCTCTACAGGACTACTCTCACACATGCACACATATGCTTCTATTAGAACATCTGAACTCTTAGATTACTCTATACAATTACACGCCTACATTATAAACTCTTCACCATCTTATCAATACAGTTTATCACTTACTTAAAGTATATGCTCACTTACAACTATAGAAACATAAGTTTATAATTTTTCTGCTTAAGTTCTGTGTACTTTAATTTTGCATCAACCCAAGCTTCTTCCAAGGTTGCAAATCAAACCCTTCTATGTCTGTGGAAGTTTCTATCTTTCCATTTCCCACAGTAGAATAGTTCCAGTAGGATAAGACCTATAATGCTCAGTCCAAATGCCTGACCAATTCAGGGCTGACCAAAAGTTAAAGCATTATTACAGGCATTGTAATACAGTGCTTACAAAATGTTGAGAAAAATAAAATTTGTGTTCATAGTAGTCCAGTACTTCCTTAACATGAAGTCCCTTGTGCATATCAAAAGGGATATGAGATACTTTTAAAATAAATGCTGTTCTAAATTAAATGAGCTGTCAGAAGTTCTAGAACAGGACCTTTATTATAGGCAGGTCTCAAACAGTAAGGTTTTGTTCAGGCGTGGCTTTGTCTTCTCTACTTTTCCTCAGAACAGGGTGGAATGTAGAAAGATTCTTCCCCACTCTTACCCCCATCCTGCTCTCCATGAATAAGGACAGGATTTCATGAGGATAAGTAGCTCTGAAAATGGAATATACTTTGTCTCTCCACAAAGGAACTGATAGCAATGGTGAAGAAAACACTGAGAAATAATAAACCTGTTTCATGTTGTCAAGCCAGGGCTATTTTTGGTTTGCTGCTTCTAGAAGAAATTAATTTCTTCTCCCAGTTCAGGGCTTTGTTCTGCATTATCTTACAACTGGAAGCATTTGTCTTACCCATTCGTTATTTATCTAGCTTTTGTTACTGCTCTGAACACTGATCTGTGCATAAAATAGAAACAGTCACTGACACAAACATGTTTTTTGAATGGTAAGCATATTCCTTGATTCTGGTTGTAAAACCCTATTAAATTAGATTTTATAAAGTAAGAAGTGCTGCAGTTCTAGTAGAAATGTATTCAGGCTGCATCAGTTAGGGCAACAAATATTCTTCTAAATGTAAACATGCATTTTCTACCAGTCATTGTACTTAGCTTGAGGCTTGAATGCTGATGCTATAAACTATCCCTTGGATTTGTTATACTTGTGGTATGTTGTCCTGAGGTAGTTGGAACAAAAACTTTTGATGAAAACTGGAGAGCCAGAGCTTTGGCTTTGAGCACTTTACTGTCTGATTGCTTGTGTGAAGTGTGAAAGTAATCAGGATGCAGATAAATCTCTTGAAACTCTGTATATATTGGTTGGGGAAGATTTTGGAGATACTGGCTGTAGATAAAGGAAAGATCTATTGAGCTGTATTCTCTGTCAGGTTTTATTTTGCAGAGGAGAAGGTTTATTCCACAGTAGTTGATACACGAAACATCATGCATTTGATTATAAGTAAAGCATCCTCTGCATCCTCTGCTTTCACCTGATCATTTTCCCCTGAAGACATGCATCATCTCCCCCAGACAAATGATAAAAAAATCCAAGAAAATAATATAAAATATCTCTGCCATAAACCAGGAAGCGTTTCTGCAAGCTAGAAAGCCTAGCTTGTTCATCATGTTCATAAACATGATTGAAAAGTTAAGCCACCTCTAGGAACATCTAGAAACACTAAAATATTTTTCAAATGGAAGTTTGTTTGCTCCCCAGCAGTGAAAGCTTTCTTTTAATGCTCTCTCTTCTATATGTCAGCATTTCTTAGCCGTCCTCTCCTAATATGACCAGATTATTATCCCAGAGACTTAGAGCCACTATTATTCGGAGAAAATTTGTACGCATGGCAGAATTGGATTGGATCTGAGATTGCAGAATAAGATTTACAGTTACAGCTGCTGTACCAGGAATGTGTGTTTGTGGGCAAGGCTCACCATTATATGCAGTCCAGCTGCCTGAGTTTCCACATTTTCCTTCACTGTCTGTGCTCAGGTTGTGTGTGTGTGCATGTGGCTGTAACTGGAGCCTAAACTTTCCAGTATTAAAATTAGTTCTGCTCAGCATATCTTCATTTAAAAAAAAGAAGAGAGAAATGAAGTTGTGTTTCAGATTTCCTACATTTTGGGCTGTTCACTGAAACATCCTCTCTCCTATGTGCTTCTTTTACCTATATGTGAACATAAAGTATAAAATTTTTCACAAGTTATTGAGTCAAAGTTACTCTACCAGTACTTTCAGACCTTGGGCAGTTTTGGGATTATAGTAACAGTAGGATGACAGATGGAGTGCCGTGGCTTTTCTGCAATTTTAGACAAAACCAAACTTAAAGCAAATCAGTTTTTTTTTGTTGTAAATAATTGCTTCCTTCCTGATACATGTTTTGTAGATAGTGGATGAAATGTGTCTGTCTGCTACATAATCAATAGAATTAAAATCCCCAGCCACTTATTTCCTGTGAAGTGATTAAAATCCACTTAGCACATAACATGGTCTATGCTGGCCATACTGCTCCTTTGCAGCAATATGTCAAGGTAATGATTATACAGTTTATGAAGTGCTTAAATGTAAATGGTCAACATAAATCTTCACAGAGTGTAATTTAATAGTTTTATTCCATTCAGAGAACAAATGTAGTCAAGCTTTGGTTGGCCTTCTCATAGTTTCCTCCAAAGTTACATAATGTTACAGTTCTTTCACCTTTGAAGGGGTGGCTTTTCTTAATACTAAGAAACACTGAAAGTATGCAGCAGGACATGGTTCTTGACTGATTGATGATCTGTAAGTGTTACAAAAGATTTGGTGGTGAAACTTGTGACACTCTCCTGTCTGCAGGTAAGAGGGACCTTGCAGATAAACAAAAGCTCTGCTGTTTGCTCAGCCATCCCTAATAAACTTTACATACATGTATATAAATCGGTGATTTTTGAAATCTTATTTCTATCAATAGATTAAGTCTACTATCTAGTATTAAAGTTCAGTTGTTGCCATTTCTTCCTCATTGTTTGGTTTATTTTCATGCAAAATTGAATAATCAATTGGAAGCCAGCAACTTCTTCCAGGCTAGGTTTTCCCTGGAAGAGGCTGAGCAACAGTTTGAAATCATAGGATTGTTGATACATTAACTGGGACATTGATTTGAAATTTAGCCCTATTTTGAAGAGCTGATACCTTTTATTAAATCAACGGGTAGAGTTGGAAAAAAGTCAAAACACACCAGCTTGAAAAATCTGGTTTTGGAGCTTCAAATCATGCTAAATTTTCCTGAAAATCTTACCACTTACTACTTCCCCCATGGGTACATTATCTTTTGGTTTAGGTGGCAGTAGATTTTACTGTACATATTTATTTTCCCTGTGATTACATACTATTTTCTTAGATAGCTTAACCAGTATTTGAAGGAAGTTAAAATTTATTTTTAATTAAGACACTGGACTAAAAATGAGCTTGAGATTTGGAGCATCTGGCGTGATTCAGAGTTTGGGTGTTACTAACATGGCTGATGCATTTGTGTTACATTCTTGCTGGTTAAAGTGAAAACAAGAATATTTCCACATTTTTGCCTTTTTAAAATAGAAGGTAGTGCAAGCAATGTATATTATAACATCTTTATAGACTTTTGTGTGTATTTTTGACGGCGACATTTTCGTGATTGATATTTCTTAACGTCATGTTCTTTTTCTCTGAAACAAAACCAAGGAAGTGCTGATACAATGACACCCCTCTTGCTTTGGTGGAGCTTATTCTTTGTTGAAAGCCAGACCAGAATACTGTCTGTTCAGACTTGAACATAATTCCAGAACATCTTAGGCAAGTGCTGATGATGTCCAGTCAGCTTCTGAAGACCACATATCATAGCATTTTTAAAAGAATAAAAAAAAATAAATGAAGAGACTATTGATTACCGAATAAAGAAATTACTTAATAGACTCCTCCCTTTTTGCTGCTTTGTGTGGACATGATATTAACACCTCATTTATTTATTGTTCTGTCTCCTGATTTTCCAATAGACATCTCTCCAGAAAAAAACTGCTGTATGTGAAGTGTGCAGTGTTTAGGAATATTAGCAGTGTGGCAGACAAAGCTGTGTTCATTTTAGAAAATGTCCTTGAATATCTACCACGATCTGTTGATTGTCATTCGTTCTGGTGCTGGCAAAACAGGTATTTGAAGCCAGTACACAAAACAGCACTTACTTTCAAGTCAATGTGTGAAACATCAAATCCTAAAAATCTATCTAAAGCTCTAAATTTGCAAGATATACTACTTGCAAGTAAAGCTGGCTAACTTGGGAAAGAACCTAGGCATTTTCTGAGTTTCACCAGTACCATCTCATGAGCAAATACCTTGTTTAGCAATTCACTAAACCTAGCAGCCACTGGCGTGTCAGTCCTACAGAGGCGCCACCCAGGGTTCAAATAAACCATGAATGCTTTTACAGTCTTTCACACTAGACAAATGAATATCTTGGTTCTCCAGTCTTGTATCTCTGTCAATTAGGCTGTAAGCTAGGTAGGAGTATTTCTTTTAAAGGAAAGTAAAATTTTCTTGTTTAGTCATCATGTTTATTAAGTTTTTGGAAAAGTACCTGTCTAAAAGAGTTCTCTTATTTTCATTCTAGTTCAATTTTGTTGGGAAATTGCTTGGACCAAGAGGAAACTCTTTAAAGAGATTACAAGAAGAAACAGGTGCAAAAATGTCCATCCTGGGAAAAGGATCCATGAGGGATAAAGCTAAGGTACTGTGTCGGTAATCTGGTTGCAGTTACTTGAAACATATGTTGTTTTAGGTGTTACACTTTGATTGCCTGTCTGTTTATTAATGACTCAATTAAAAGGCCTATAATAGACTCTTGACTCCAAGGCTAGTTTGTTTTTTTCAAGTTACATAATTTGCTTAAATATATTCTTTTTCTTGTTATGCCAACCTTGCTTAGACCTTCACAATTGCTATAGTATCACTGTTATTTAAGTAATTCACCTAAAAGAGAAACCATGTTCATTTGTTCTGAGAAAAGTCTTTTTCTCCTGTGAAAGTGCAGCTTGTATATATTACTGCTTTAATATTGGTGTACATAAATGAGTTCTCTCTTGTTTTCTGTTGCTTTAGAGATTTTTTTTTAATGTTGAGTATTTATTCAGGGCATAGTTCTAGGAGAAGATAACAAAGTAGACATTTTGCTTAAGTGTGTTTAAAAATGCACCATAGATAAAGAATAAAAAATGTTGGGAATCACAGCCTGGTCAATGCCCCTAAGTAATTACTTGCAGGTAAGTGTTGCTCCTCCTCAACCAGTTCCCCCCCAGTTTATAAACTGAACGTGATGCTCTGTGGTATGGAATATCCCTTTGGCCAGTTTGAGTCAGCTGTCCTGGCTTTGCTCCCAAGTCCTTGGATTAGGGTAAGCACTACATAACAACAACCCAAACATTCGTGTGTTATCAATATTTTTGTCATACTAAATCCCAAACACAACAGGGTGCCATTTATTAGGAGGAAAACTAATCCTATCCCAGCTAAAACCAGGACATTAAGGAAGCTTTCATGTATATTTTACCCAAAGAACAAGTCCTGATTGCATTGTGATGTCTTTTAGAATCTGTGGAACAGCAGTATTATGGTCAACACTGAAATAATGACTCCTAATGTCACTATATTTTAACTGTTAATTTCACTATATTTTAACTGTTAATTTCACTATATTTTAACTGTATATAGCCTCTCTAGCAATGTTGTGCATTATTCTTGTTTCCTTTCTGTCACCTCTGTCATTATCTCAGTAGCTAAAATTATGAAAGTAATAATATGCTGAAAGGAAAGACCAATCAGGATTTTTTGGTTGGCATTATTTGGTCTTGGTAAAGTGTATCAGCAATCACATAGACATTATGAGGTCTGCCATTGCAATATTAGAAAAATAAACCTGCAAACTAGACAAATTAGGCACACAGATTATATTTAATTTTTCAGAGTTTTCTTTATGACATTTTAGTCAGACATTTAGTGACACTTCAGTTATGATTATAAAATAATATATGTTGAATACACTACTGATTTTATTTCCAAGTATTGACAGGTAAAATATTTTAATTACTTATGTCTAACTTCTGTAATCATAAATATTTCCCTAGATGAAAGAATGTATGATCTGCTAAACTGCAGTCATTTGCATCAGTGCTATAGCTGATGCCCAGTCACTTCATTTTCAGCCACCCACTCAGATTATTATTGCTGAGAGCATCAATTGCCCAGACAGGGGAGTGTAAACAAGTTTAAACACATTATTAGACAGATTAAGACTTCTGATTTTTAGATTGGTCACTCTTCTGATCATATAATTTGATTTTTGTCTGACCATAATGAACAGTGCCAGCGTGACGGGTGCTATGTTCACTCCATGAGTATGTCAGCAAAATTTGAGTATGTCTTCAAAAGGTTTGTAGTCCTTAAGAATAATCTGAAATTGAGTATGAGCTTCATGTAGGCTCATTCATATGAGACTGGTGTACAAAAATGAAGTTCTAGTGTAAAGTGGCATTAAATATAGCAGTCATGAAAGCAGTTTCTGTAGAGAAAGGCTCATAAGCAATTTATCTTAATCCAATTTAGACATTACTGACTCAAAAGAAAACAAAATCCTTGTGCAATTGCAGTGAGAGGCAGGAATTTTCTCATCCATGTACGTCGGTGTTACCAGTTCCTGGCAAAAGAGTGTGAGAATAATCATGGGATGGGTAATAGTTACAATTAGCATTTCAGAGAGGCTGTTCTAGTTTGAGATACTGATAAAATGTAAAGAAAATATGTTTGACTGTGAGCATAAATAATGGTGTGAATTGCTACATTGCTAAGGAAAATACAACTTGCTCTGGTTAAAACCATTTTCTTGTCAAAAAAATAGTGCACTAGTATCATTTATGCAGTACTTTTTTACTGATTTAAATACAAATTACCAAAGTCTGGAGGCTTTTTATGGGTTTTTTGAACCATAAAAGAAATCAGTTTATGTATATTGGCTGATAGATCTTTGTTTTGCAGGAGTATTCAAGAAAAATCGATGTAATTTCTCTCTAGAAACTAGAATTCCTTCAAACTGTCTATATTATGCCATGAGCCATAGCAGTTTCTAGACAGACTGCAGGCATGTGTGCTTTTCCCCTCCAGTCTGCTGCCGCTGGATGCTGAGTTGCAGCAGAGAAGCAGAAGCAGAATTTCTGCTGGAAAGTGCTGAGTACATTTATGCCCTAGATCCCTAGATACTTAAATCTTCCAAAAGAACTGATCTGCTGATTTGAGGTTTTTTTAGTGCCAAAATGACAACAGGGAAGTTTTTGGCTCAACAATGGGCTGCTCTGGCTATAGTCAGTAATTTTGGTCATACAGAGGGGGAGTTTCTTTTTATGAGAAGCAGATTATATCAACAGAGGTATGTCTGTTCCTCAGAATTTCCTTATCTTCTTTAAAGAAACCTGTGGGTAAATTTTAGAGGCTAAAGATTTTAGGCTGTTTCCTTTCAGAGCAACAGGGAACATTTGTTAAGAGTTACTTGAGATTTCTGAGTGTCTGCTGTGCCTACAGTGCGGGAACAGGATAGATTAATTTGAAAAGGCAATGCAGCTTACCTAAAATGTGTATTATGAACAGCTCCAATTGTGCACAAGGCACCACAGAGCTAATGTATGTCACATAAAGTTATGTTAGATGTTACTGAAGAGATGCTCAAGTATAACTGCATCAGCAGTTCGTTTCTATTTTTAAGAACATTTTTATTTTAAAAGTTACCTAAAGGAGTCTGTTTGGAAGAGCAGAATAACCTAAGAACAATAGAATGTTTTAATTTTCATTTAGTAATATATTAGGTGTTAGACAAAAAAAGATTTTTGGTTACTTTTCATTCTGTTGAAAAAAAAGAAAAATAGTTTTTTAGCCTGCATATCTTTTCCTGAAAACTCATTGTTCATCACCTGCAAGACATCTGGAAGACTGGTCAGTTATTTAAACTAAAGGAGGTCACATTGTCTTTGCTCCAAACATATTTTTGAACCACGTTTTACTTACATAGAATAGAATTTGGAAATTTGTGTCCTCATAACAAGGTTATTTATTAGATTAAAAAAAGCTAAAACACTGACTTTTACTGTAGCACATGAGCTGTCAGACACACAGGAAGGAAAATGTAAGTCACAGTGTTTGCATGAAATCTTCTGCAGACTGATGTATGTGGATGCTGACAGAGAGAGAAACTTTCCCTGGCATCATCCTGGGGAAAGTTGGGAGAATGCTCAGAGAAAGAATTAAAACAATTCTTATCTTAATCTCTGCACCTGGTGTTTGTGAACATGTGGAATGTTGGTATGTGATGTTTATGGGAAGATATTTTAAAAAGTTGTTGTTCCGAATTAACCAGTGGTGTGAAGGGTGTTGTTTAAGAACCAGTCAGGTTCTGGGTGAAAGATCCTGTCTATAAAATATGTGTAGTTCCTAATAAAGCTTGCTTTATCCCTTCTGAGCATGGAGTCAATGCTGCCTTCCTTTAGCCATTCATAACTCAATTGCAACAGAAATATAACTGCCATTCCAATTTAAAACTTTTTTACCTAGAGAAATCCTGTCAACACCATTTCCTATTCTGCAGACTGTCTGTTTATTACCCATTTCTCTCATACCTTAAACTTGCACTTAGTTGTGTCATTTGTCCTGGCTATTGAAAGGATTCTGTTTTTCAAGATTCATATTGTCTTCCTATAAAACATGAAAACTTAGAGAACAAAGTTGCACTGCAGCTTTGAAAAACCTCATAAACTACTTTTATGTGATTCAGTGTTTTATCAGCTACTGAGCACTTTTAACTGCTGCCTTTTTCAAGTTGTGGTTTTTGTTAAAACTAGTTCTTCAGGAAAGAGGAGATAATTGCAGTCCAGATATGTGCCTTTCTTTAATCTGTGGATTAAGTGCTTTCCAAATAAGGTCCACTGTCACTGGACAGCAGCTTTCCCTGTTAAACAGAATTTGTTTCATTACCTTTTCTTTATAGAAAACCCTAGCATTAAGAGCTTGTTTGCTACTAAAAAGATCTGAAATGAGCACACAGGGAAACTACTGAGATGCAATTATTAGCATGTTTGCTTTAGAGTGGTTTTTAACAACTGTGTTATGTGATTGCCTTAAAAAAGATTTTGAAAATATGCCATAGTTGCAGTGTGCACTGGTCTCTTCCCTGCAAATTATAAATGCTGTGAGGTCAGTCCTGCAACCTTTAAATAACTGTTTCAATATCTTACAGGATTAAGTCCATATGTAATGTGAATAATGCCCCATAGATTTTTGGTTTGAAGCACAATGTGTTTTTTCATTAGGTCATGACTACCATGGGCATAGTGTTCTAATAGAGGAAAGCTAGTTCTTTAATAGGATTCTCTTGATTTCATTGTTTTTTTCAAAAAAGTTATTAATTAATGCTCTGATAGCCAAAAGAGAAGAAAAATGTAGCAGGTTTTGTCTATAGGATGTTGTGGTCCAAGAATTACATTATATTCTTCCCCAATGCTATTGCTTCACTGAAATGTGGATCAAAGGTGTTGTCTTTAGTGTCCAGAGTTTTAAAAGCTTTTGAGTGTCACTACCTGTCAAAATGTTTAAGGTCATGCAGTATAGGTGCATATGCAATATTTTTTCCAAGTGAGAGTGTCAACGTTCTCAACAAGAATAGGAGGTTACAAGAGACTTTAGATAGTTAAA